TATCTGACTTCCTAGGTACCTAAAATCAGCCACTTCTTCTAATTTTTCGTCTCCTATCTTTATATTCGCTCTTTCCCTACTTTTTCTTCCCTTGCATATCCGTATTTTAGTTTTACTTTTATTTATTTTCATACAATACTGATCTGTCAGTACCGCTTCCATTTTATTTAAAGCTATCTCTAGGTTCTCCTTGCTAGATGCTAATACTGCTATATCATCTGCAAATCTAAGCATACCAAACATACGCTAAGACACATTTATATTCAAAATCTGCAATAAAAATTGAATGTAATTTCTACTTTTCTACATTCAGTAAAAGTAGCAAAAACCTCTTTAAATAAATCGATTGACAGGACCATAATTAATTTTTATCAGAACATATGTACCTATCCCGTTCCAGTGTTTATTCTGCATATTCAACTACTTTAGGAAAGAATGTTTCTTTTATTGGGTAATCATTTTATCTAGTTTCGTAACAGTTAATTAAAAAGAATGGTTCAAAAAAAAAATTGAACATTAAGTATACATTTCCTACAATACTGTGGAGAAACGTATACGTATAAATACGTGTAGGTGCATGCATATGTTTGGCAAAATAATAAAGAACAAACACACAGTAGTGCAAATCCACGTCCACGTGTTAAAATAATATTTGTATTGGTTAAAATGTATGACTATCTTTCTCTACACTTTCACTCCATTTGGCCGTAAAGCGTTTCTAAAGAAGGCGCTCCAAATTGCACAGATCGGATTGGATCCCAAATTGTATGTACGCAAAACATTCGGCAGTTGTAGTATATATTTATTTATTTCGCAAGGTTGGTACGTCTGCATAATAGTAGTCTGTATGTAGTAGATGCAGTAATCATATAGGAGGTACCTACATATTAGTTGTGATGTCAGTAGCGCCTAAATAAATATTTCCTTTTCTAGTTGTTAGCATGTTTGATTTGACAGGTGAATACCTGATTTACTTTTTCTAAGAGTGAAGATGTTGCAAACCAAACGAATAATATTATTATACGTGCTGACGTACTTAGATTTTTAGTTAGAAAGAACAAGCATTCTCTATTCAATATCTAGTTAAATAATATATGTGCAAGTTTTTATTGGGGCCTATTACATATTTCCTATCTTTTTTTTTCGAAGCTTGTTTTGTATAATGAATGTGTATATTTTTCAGTATGTGTTAAATTAGGAAGGCCAAGTAGTAGACTTGGGCATTTTAGTTCAGTAAAAATAGCGCTCAACTTAGTTCAATATTCTTCCGCGAAGTAGTTCACTTGTTAGTTCACCCTTAAGGCGCTTTGGGTTCGAAGAAGATAGGGACCCTTTAATTAATGATGGAATTATCTGATATTGATTTTCATTACATCAAATTTTCGGAAAAATATTATTACAATTCCAGGACTCCCAAACCGCTAAAAGACATTTTAAAAAGGATGGACTGTCGGTAAAACAACCAATTTACGTTTTTTTAGGTTAGGAAGTATATCATGAGTTTCTTCCGCCATCTTCCCTACCTGGTAGACAATTGAACTAACGAACTGATTTCTTGTTTGACTGTGAACCAGTTCTTGTAGTTCACACATATATTTAATTAATTATAATTTTCTGAATTGAAAAAGGCTCATTTTGGTAGGTAACTTGTGAAACAGTATTTGTAGCAGAGTAGGCGTAAATTAGCAAATGTGAGGAATAAACTATTTTAGTCCAATAGTTTACTCCTTATTTCGTATTTATATACTAACTAGGCTAAACGATTTTTTTTACAGCTAGGTGAAAGTAAGTTGTCTCCAGATTCCAAAATTTCTTAATCTCTCCTAAACGCCAAAAGTAGAACTAGATAGTCTTTTTTTTTTAATATTGCTTCATTTTAAGG